TTTACTTTTATGGGTGTACCGGCAACAACCTACCCGTCCATTTGCCGGTCTCCTCATTGGGCGCCCCGTTCACATTGTCCTTCACCAGCAGCAGCTCGTAGCGAATGTTGAGCATGGCGGCGACCTCGTCCAGCAGGTCGACGATGTAGCCATCGAAGCGGGCGTTTCCGCGCAACTCCATAGTGGCGTTCGCCTCGTACAGGTACGGGTCGATCAGTTTGGTGGACACGCGGAGAACTGTGAGATTGGCGTCCTTGGGGGAGTGGCGGTTCCAGTTGGCCGTCTTGCTCAGTCGTTCCTTTGGTTTTTTAACATANTCGATCAGTTTGGTGGACACGCGGAGAACTGTGAGATTGGCGTCCTTGGGGGAGTGGCGGTTCCAGTTGGCCGTCTTGCTCAGTCGTTCCTTTGGTTTTTTAACATAATCATTTTCGTTTTGAATTTCACTAGCCTTTTTGCTTCCTCCTCCTCCTCCTCCTCCTCCTTGGTTTCTCATCCAGTAATCGGGCTTGGGAAGACCGGCTCGCTCCTTGGGCGATCCCATTACTAAGCCGTTTTTATTTTGACCACCATTACCTTCCTCTTCAGCCCCGCCCCCTAAATCTGTCCACGTGGCAATCACCTCAAAGTCGGTGTCCATGGTGCTGATCAACTCAAAGGAGAGCTTCGAGCGGAAGCCGGAAGTCTCATCAAAGGCCACGTACCCGGTGAGGCCCTCGTGGCGCACCTGGCGGACGTAGTTGAGCACCGAGGCGCCGTACTGCCAAGGACGGGCGTTGCTGTCCTCGCAGCTCAACGCTTCAGTGGGCGGCGTGGTGAACTGATCCAGCTCGGCGAGGCCTAGGGCCAAAATTTGAACGCCGTCAAAGATCATCGCCGACTTGGAGCTGAGGTGCTCGGGCGGCGGAAGGAGACCTTGAGAACGGGGCATAAAGCGGGCAGCATAGGCGGGCCAGTCGGCCAGGAGAGACTGCAGAACCGGATGCTCCTCTCGGACGATTCTCAACGAGGTGATATTTGTCTGGGAGTGTCGGTAGTTCTCCAGCGGAAGTGTGTGCAGGTCCAGCGAGGTGATCAGGTAGTGGTGGCGCTCCGTCATGATGCCCACTTGTTGAGCTTGGCGAAGCACTTCTAAAAGATGGTCAGTTCGAACGTCGAGAAGGATGTTGCGCATCTTCAGCCGCTTCACCTGCCAGAGGACGTCCCGATAGGGGCGATCGGGTTGAAGTTGAAAGAGACGAATCTCCCAGCCCTTTGCCGCCGCATAGGGGAAGAAGTCCTTGAAGTGGACGACGCTGTCTGACTCCTGGATTATCACTGCAAAAGCGGTCCAGCCCCAGGCGTCGATGATGTCGAGGTAGGCGCGGCTGAGGGTGCTCAGGTGGGGATACAGTTGAATGCTGAGGTCAGTTCGAGGCTGAAAGTCGACCATCAGGCGAGCTTCGACGTGAGGTACCTCGAGGTGCTCGCAAATCGATTGCACCTGTAGAGAGCTGATTGGGTTGAAGGGGCCGATGATCGCGACGGGGCTGTGGCGGAGGAGATCACAGGCTGAAAAAGAAAAATATGAGTTTTTGATGATAAGCAAAACTTCCGAAAGAAGCTTCTCTTACTCTTAAAGTGCGCCTCGTAGGAGTTGTAGGGACGGGCGTGCTCCACCACCGCCTCGAAGATGGTTCGATTGGCGAAGTTGGCGTTCACCTTCTCGATGGCCGCATGAAAGACCAGCTCCTGCTCCTGTTCGGCGGCCGAGAAGAGGCCGCCGATGCGGATGACGCGAGGTAGGGCATGGCTGAGTGGTGGGATGGTGACAAGAAAAATGAGGGTGATAGTGGTGATGAGGATGGTTATGGTCTTCAGTGAAANTTGTAGGGACGGGCGTGCTCCACCACCGCCTCGAAGATGGTTCGATTGGCAAAGTTGGCGTTCACCTTCTCGATGGCCGCATGAAAGACCAGCTCCTGCTCCTGTTCGGCGGCGGAGAAGAGGCCGCCGATGCGGATAACGCGAGGTAGGGCATGGCTGAGTGATGGGATGATGACAAGAAAAATGAGGGTGATAGTGGTGGTGAGGATGGTTATGGTCTTCAGTGGGGAAGACCTCATGTTTATCGATTGAAATTGAGCAAAAGATGAGCGACAACAAAACTCACTACCGAGCTTTAGCTCACATTGCTGCTGCAGCAGATCACAACACACACTCACCAAAACAGAGAAGAATGAAACTGCACTGAGAATCTTCTTCTTTTGCTGCTGCTCTAGCGGTAATTAGGAAGAACGGGCTTCTATTTTTAGAGCTCTGGTGGCAACAGCAAGTAGAAGAAAGGACGTTGGATGTTGGACGGCTGCCTGCTTGCTCGGCTTAGTCAGCACCGTGTACAAATATATCAGCTTGCAAGTAATTTACAGTAAATTATTTACTGCTTTATCTATTTTTGTTTACCACACACTAGCTGTTATCTAGAGCACCAAAAAAACATTTTAAATCAGTTTGGGTTATTCATTGATGCCGTCAATGGCCAATAAAAAACACATTAGAGTTTTATAAAAAAAAATCTTGATAATGTTTTACAGTTAAAAAGCTTCTGAATCTGCAAATATTTGATTTATTCTGAAGCTATTAGCAAGTTGAAAGTTAGCGGAATTTTATTAGAACGTTGCTATAAATTTTTTGAAACTGCTATTTTTAACAAAATTAAAACAACAGTTTTCTAAAAATAGTTTAAACTTGTAAATTCTTAACTTGTGTAGCATAGCAGTTACCTAAAAATGTGCTGAAAACGTACATGCAAATTAAGGAACTGTAGATTCTTGCAACCTGAAATGCAAAGAAATTAAATTAATCATTGTACCCAGCACCAGTTCTACTTAAATTAGTTTTTTCTTTTTCTTGCCGTCTGTAGACTTAAACTTTTGAGAAAACAAAAAAGTTTTTACTGCATTTTTTTCATTATTCAACACTGTACTTGGGCAAAACACTAATGTAAAATGTTGAAAAAGTATCAATATTTTTTGACATACTCTAACTCGTACAGTGAAGTGGAAACTTTTTCTTCGAAAACCATAATTTAAATAACTGTTGACGTGTTGTGCTCTTAAACAACAAAAACATGCAAATAAATTATTCCTCAACAGTGTCGTCATTACAGTTACCAAAAGCCCATTTTTACTTGTTACTTTTTCATATTTTGTCGTACTTTGTGCCATGTTTATCAAAAATATCATTAAATATTTACCCAAAATTTCTGCAGTAGTCCTGGTGCAGAGTGCCGTTTATTTAACCACAAAAGTGTACATTTTCTTAGAAAACCAAATTATTGTGAGAGCACTTTCAGCAGCCAAAGAAGAAGCACCAGCAATCATGATTCACCTGAGACTAGTTCCACCTTTCATTTTTTTCCTCATCTGCAAAGCACTTTACCCCTTTGAGGGGATTACCTTCTTTGAAAAACACCTGCAGCTACTTCGGCTCATCAAAACCGAGTCCAAACACCGGTTTTTGTTTAAAGCGTTCCTCATTTTTCTGGTTCTCAAATCAGCTCATTTTCTCCTCTTTTTTATCTCTTCAACCTCCTTCACTTCCACCTTACCGCCACCCTTTTCATCATCAACCTTAATGAGCACCTTTACCCGAGTGCTCAATTACGACGCCGTCACCCTCACCTTTGGCCGCAGTGCCCTCAACGTGAACGCCTTTGCCGTCATAGCTTCCGGCGTGTACATGTACCTTTTCTTCTTCATCAGACATCCTCCAAACCTAAATAATCATCTCCTGTGGGAGATCACCGGAGAACGAGATGACAGCTTCTTCATTGCTCAGAAGCATCGTTCGGTTTTGGTTGTAGACTTTATCAGATCTCGATTGCTGCTGGTCTTCAATGGCGTCGAGTCGGCGGCCATCTCCACAAACCTGCTAACAGTTGGAATTCACTTTCGCCTAGGGATGATGTTGATAGAGGAGATTAGAGGGCTTTCGTTTGTGGAACAGCTTTTTTATCACCTTATTTTCACCCTTGCCGGGGCGCTTTTTCTCTTCAGCATTCTCACGCATTTGTACATTCTCAGCCTGGTGATAAGCTTGGGAACTAGTCAACTATTAGTTCTTAGCATCAAACTGCTGCAGTTGTCGCAGTACTGCTCCAGTTGTACCAACTTTACCGGCAGTTGTTCAAGCTCAAAGAAAGGGCTGAATAAGAAAAATTTAAGCCGTTTCTGCTTCACCTTCTACCACCGACATCTGGTCAGCATCTTTGGGTACTTTCGCGAGTACAATGTCGTCTACGGGCGCCTCTTTGTTGTTTTCATTTTTGTCAATGCGGTAAAAACGTAGTATTTCTCATTTTTATCATTTTTAACTGGGTAACTTTTTTGTACTTACTCTGTANGAGAAATTTAAACCGTTTCTGTTTTACCTTCTATCACCGACATCTGGTCAGCATTTTTGGGTACTTCCGCGAGTACAATGTTGTCTACGGACGCCTTTTTGTCGTTTTCATCTTTGTCAATGCGGTAAAAACGTAGTATTTCTCATTTTAATCATTTTTAACTGGGTAATTTTTTTGTACTTACTTGTCAGCCAATCAACGTGTACATCACCAGCACGTTGGTGTACGGCAATGACGACGTGTCGGTCATCGGCACCGCCTACCTCCTCATTTACGCCTTCATGCAGGTAGTAGGCCTCTTTGTGATTCACCTCGGCCTGGTCACCTTCTCCAAGCGCATTCACGCTCCCAATCGCCACCTGCTGCGGATCTACTACCGTCTGGAGGAGGTGGTGAGCAAGAGTGCTTTGGGTACTAAGCTGAAACTGGTCAACTGCCTGGTGGCCATGTCCGCCCGTCACCCCTACGGCATCACCTATGATCGTTTTGGCCTGGTCACCCTGGCCACCTTTGCCCGCTTTCTGCTCATTTACGTCAAGTGTATGATGCTCTCGTATAAGATGGCCAAGTTGTGAGAAACAATTTGTATCGGTTTTAACTGTAAATAGAAACATCGTTGGTGCGCTTGTTTTGGGTTGGAAGATAGGAGAGCAAGCTAATCACAGAAAGGAGAACAACAACAAAAAATAAAAATGGGTTTTTCCACTAAAGGCGAGAAAAGTAATGTAATAACTATTTTTCTCTGTTTTTGAACTTTTTCTTTGTGATTTTGTTTAATTATCAATAAAACTAGTCAGTACAGTGTACTCTCAATGAAATCATCACTCATGACATCATCCAAATGATCAATGTACATAATACTTTTAGGTTATTTAAAGAGACTGCTTGATTTCAGATTTGAGCAAGTAATTTTTACTTTTATTTGTTTTACTGATTAATAACAACTTATTTAATTTATAATGAAAAACTTTTTATATTGTGTTTACCTAAATTTTAGCATTTTGTTATTTATTTTCAATCAAGTTAGAGCAAAAAGCAATGTAACTTGGGAGGAATTCAGCTCAACAGGAGAATTCACTCTTAAGAATGGGCGGAATTTTGAGTTTCCAAACATCTATCGCCAGGAACAACCAACTTTAAATTTTGACATTAATTACAACTCGACAATTATCTCTCACAAAACAACTTGGCAATTTAAAGATGACACAAAATCCAGATTATTCTATTTTTACGATAAAAGTCAATTAATACTAAAAATTAAAAAAAATGTAAAAGAGCCTTTTATTACGGCATACACAGTTTCATGGTACCCACCTCCACTACCGCCATTGTCTTCTAACACTGTGCTGCAAGAAAAAAATACAAAGGTTTTCACTTTCGGACTTTACTATTTTAAGTACGCTGAATCCAAAACTGCAATTAGTTTTTTTTCTGGGATCGCCGGAAGTACCTTAAATTTGACCCGGAAAGTGCCAAAAAAGCTGTTTTTGACACTTTTCGAGAATTTTTAAAAAATGCTTCCGGCGGTCAACTTAGGTTGAACAAAAAACAATATTATTTTAAATTTTGCCTAGTTTAAAATGGTAAAAGAATTTTTTTAGTAATCAAAATAGTTTGATCAGGAGGACGAACTTAGTAAATCAAGATTTTGATTATAGAATTTCAGCCACAGTATGTTAAAATAGACGCAGTAACTTCTATTATCAAAATCTTGACTTACCAAATTCGACCTCCTGATCAAACTATTTTGATTACTAAAGAAATTCTTTTACCGTCTTAAACTAGGCAAAATTTAAGATAATATTGTTTTTTGTTCAACCTAAGTTGACCGCCGGAAGCATTTTTTAAAAAATTCTCGAAAAGTGTCAAAAACAGCCGTTTTGGCACTTTCCGGGTCTAATTTAAGGTACTTCCGGCGATCACAAAAAAAACTAATTGCAGATTCGGATTCAGCGTACTCGAAATAGTAAAGTCCAAAATTGAAAACTTCAGTAATCAGAAGTTTGACATCATTTGTCGCACAGTGTAATCAATCAAATATTATATTTAAAAAAAAGAAAAACTTGGAAATTTGTGTTTACCTCAAAAGAAATTCAGATTTAGAAACTTTTTGGTACAAAACTTATCAGTCTGTAAAACCAATTTTTCCAATGGATATTAATGTAAAATTAACTAAAAAACCTTTTGGCAACATTTACTCACCAATAAATGAGACTGATTATGCGTACATACTCAATCAAATGTTTTTCAACACAAATGGTTTTGCTTTGATTCTACCTAAACCAAAATATATTTTTTTGCAAATAGCTCCAAATCAATTATGCTTTTCTGACAAAAAAACTTTTAAAAGTTTAAATTTACAATTTTTTGCTGGAAAAAACATTAGGGCTGTTACTAAATATGCAGTG